TTTCCGCGTGTGTAAAGTAATTCGATATGTTGTTTTGACTGTGCATAAACTAGTAAAACTTTGACTGGGTTGTTTAAAAGAGCTTAAATATTCAGTGCTTTCTTAGATTCTTGTATGAAAACTTCTTTTAATGAAGAAAAAGTCAGCTGCTATGCCATTTTGGAGTGAAGTGCTTCTAAGTCAGTTGTTACTTCAAACACATTTTTAACATGAAATGAATTTACATCTAGAATTTTCCACGGTCATTTTTTGGAAAATTAAATCTCAGAGCCTTAATCTTTCACTACCCAGCAGCTTTGATCCTGACCCAGTAAATATCCCCATAAATAATATACGATTAAATAGAGTATGTCACGTGACCAAATCAAGGTTTCCAATTGCTTCTGAAAATATGCCACCTTGCATTTCGATCCGTCTGCAATATATAAATTTCATTACAGTACCCAGGGGATTAAAATAAATGACTTAAGTCTTGTTATTTGTGGATATGGAATTTCCAAGGGGTAGGGGGACCCAAGTAGAAAACTCATGGAAATTCCAGGGGGTGGGGGGAGTACCATGAGCCCCCTGGAGGATCAAATTGGAAACCCCCCTTCCCCACAGGAGGGGTATGGATATTTTCTGGAACCACACATTGATTAATTCTAAATGTTTTATTTTAATAAGGTTTATTTCAAAAGGGAAATCAAAGATATTTAGTGAATCTAAGCTCTGTATCATTAATTATTATTTAGGTAATTAATTAATTAATCATCATTATTTTTGCATACTAAATTGTTTAATAAATAAAATAATTTTGGGCCAGCTCCTCAGAAATTTGGGCTAGTAGGATGAAATTACAGCTTGCCCGAAGGGCAAGTGGTTTTTTTGAATTTCATGTTACCCTGCTTTTTATACACTTAGTCCACTCTCATAAGGGAACTGTCCCTCCAGAATTGGAAAAAGTGTCTGTAGGTAGACCTGTCTGCTTACGGGAACAAGAAGGAAAGTGGACCATGACGAACGTGCTAACAACGTGACACAAAAAAATTTCACTTCGGACTCTTGTTTTAATGTCAATTGCTTTGCTGCCAACAAATGGAGATTTGACAAAACTGATCCCCACTACAGGTTCTGATGAGCACTGTCAAAGGTCTTACTTACATGCAAGTTGATTTATTGCAAATTAGAGACAAATTTCATTGCCAAGAGTCAAATATTCATGGGTTGTCTGCTTACGAGATGGCGTTACACTAAAGAAAAATCCAATTTACATTTTCAAAATTGTTCACGTCCACTTACGAGAATGTGTAACTTACAGAATTTGACTAGGAGGTAAAACTGGGAATTGATAAAAAGTGTAGAGCTGACAGCTTATGAGAGTGGCTGTTAGTGGAGCTCTAGTTGACTGTACATGTAATTTAACATTGAATTAAACAATAGAAAGAAAACCAAACAATGCTCACCTGGAAAAAAGTATGACCAAGCCACTCAAAGAATTAATTGTTAGTAATAAAAGTA